GGGCCCGCGCCAGCCGCGGGCAGAGAGCACAGGCAGCAGGGAGGGTGCTCGCAGCCACGCTCACTCACTCACTTTTTCGGATGCGCTTGCCAGCTTGGAGCCGGTGGAGTTGAAGGCGAGAGCAGCCAGAGGCCCGTCATGGGCAGGAATGGTGCAGGCTGTTTTCTGTAGGGCAGAAGGTAATGTGAGTGCAAAGAGACACGTTGCTCCATGGACTGCGTAAGGGCAGGGCGTTCCCTGCCTCGTACCCTATCCAGGCCTGCCCATACAGATTCACAGGATTGTATCACACTTATGTTATTCCTTCAGCATCCTCAGCATTTCTTACTTCTGCGCTGCCTTGAGCTCACTCCCCACCCCTATGGTCACTGTGATTACAGAAGGCTCATTTCAGGGGCAGAGGTCCTCAGCTCTCCACCTCTCCAGGCTGCAGGATCACGACTGCTATCCCTAAGCCTGGCATCTCTTTGTGCAGAGACAGAGCTGGCCTCCCTGTGACTCACTCGGCGGTGCAGCAACTCACCCTGCGGGCAGCAACACCTCCCTGATGCCTGCGGAGCGCCCGGGCCCTTGTAGTACCTCACAGCAGCAGCGTGTTTTCCGCTTGTGCTCTGCTCCTCCCCTGCTGCAGATCCTTAGCTCCCGCTGCACGTACAGAGCGACAGCTTTATGTAATCCAAAGCCTTGGCATAAACAGCAGATAATCATGACCCTGCTTCCAGCCAGGGACAGATTTCCTGAGGGAGGCTTTGGATACTTCACCCTCTCCATGACTTTGGGTCCGGCATCCCTTCCAGCCCACGGTGTGGCAAACCCGCTGCTCCAGGCCCTGCGCTGTGCCTGGAGAAGCTTCAACTCTCCCTGAGTGACCCTGGTCACCTCAATCCCATGGAATACACTGCTGAAGCCCTGTAGGAACACCCTATAGGGACCCATGTCATCCTGGCAGCAGTAGTTGGGCCATGGGGTCACATCTCCCTTAATACCCCATGCTGGGAGATAGATGTCCTGATCCCAGAGGGGCAGGCTGCTTCGCAGGGCATACAAGGAAGGGGGATGGGGAACATGCCTGCCCCGGGCAATTCCCTTGCAGCCCAGCTCGGTGGAGTGTATTTATTCATCCTTCCCAAAGGCCTTGTTGGCTCTGCTGTGGTTCTGTTTGTTTGCAGTCCCCGCCGGTATCCAAACGGGCGAGCTTCGCGCTTACCAAAGTATTTCCGTCGTAAAGCGCGATCTCTCCGCTGGTCGCACTGCCGGGATAAGCCAAGTAGGAGTTGGCGTGGTTGATGGAGAGCGCGCACAGACCTGGCAAGGCAAGAAGGACGCAGCTGAGGTTATTTGCTGGTGGAGGATGGAAAGCAGGAACAGGGCCATGGAGGCCGCAGGGGGTTCAAGCTCTGTCTCATTTTGGGGCAGTGGCCGGCTGCGCTGGCAATGGCTCGGCCGTGGGGACACCTGCTGGTATGGGACAGTATGGCTGCCTCCTCCTGGCCACCACCCCCTCCCAAACCCCAGGTTCTGATTTTGGGCACCCTCTTGGCTTCTCCCCCTTAATCATCTCCTTCGAGAAGGCAGGAATAGGTGCGTGAATTAAGAGGCATCTTGGTCTCAGGGCTAACAGGACTCCTGTCCAGGCACATCTGGGCACAGCCAGATGTGCGCAGGGTGTAGGTGCCGGGTCAGAATCTCGGATGAGCGGCACGCAGCCCTGGTACAAAGCCTGGCACGTGAAGGCTGGCACGAAACAGCACGGCAGCGGGGCTGGGCAGTGCCATTTCCCTTTTCTCTGAACGGAAAAGGGAAGCAGAGAAGACAAAGCAAATGCCACAGTTGTGCAGGGAGTTTCCGGCTGAGGAGCTTGAACCTAGCTAAATTTTAACCACAGAGTGAATTCTTCCCCGTGACAGCCATCTGCTTATATGCCAACGTGAGCATAAAGGTTCCCAAACGCCCCTTTCAAAGTGAGCAGGAATTACGGGATGAGACAGGGATGGATGGATATGTCCATCTGCCTGTCCCCCAGGTGACCTCGGAAAAGAGCATCTCTTCCTGCCTCTCATTTCTGCCGCTGGCTGAGGACCCATCCCAGTGAATCCTGTCACATACAGGAACGGGTCTGGGTCTCACTTGCTTCCTGCACCACATCCGTGTGCTCTCTGTCCTCCCAAACCTGACTCAAGGCTTCAGCACGAAGCTTCCTGGCCCCAGCCAGGGAATCCCACCAATTCCCACATGCAGAGGAAGCCATGGGGTTAAAGGCTGCGGGGATGCTGCCATACTCCCCAAACGGGACGCCTGCCCATGTGCACGTACACGCAGAGACGCCCGCACACATGCCGTGCAACCCGTCGTGTCAGGACACGGCCCTGGCCTGGGCCCAGCAGCGGGGAAGGATCGGCTGAAGCTCTCGCTTTAGGTCATTGTTTATAGCTAAACAAAGAGACCGCAGCGGAGCCAGGAGCTGCAGGATCGGCCAGGGGCCCCAGCGATCCACTCCCTATCAACCAGAGGCATTTACATCATGCCAGGGACAGCACGCACCCAGCAGAAGAGGCACAGCAGCAGCAAAGTGCAGGCAGTTGTAAGGCCCCCAAAAAGGGGGCAATAGGGGAAAGGCAGAGAGAGCCCAGAGACTTTGCTCATCCTGAGCAAGGGTGTCTTTTCAGGATGGGCTTCCCCCAGCCCAGGAAGCACGGAAGGGATCAGCTCAGCCCTTTCCCTAAGTGGAAGATCTAGAGAACGCTCAAGCTAAACAAAGCAAGGCCTGAGCGGCTGGTGTGAGTCACCGGCTCCCTCTGCTCCGCGCCGGGCTGGGAGAGGCGGACGGGAAACCAGGCCAGAGGAAAACACAGATGCGAGTGTACTGGGCTGACCTCAGGGACGCACAAAGAACAAGGATCACGAAGGACACGGGCAGCCTTTGAAGATGCTCCTCTGCTCTCGGCATCCCCACAGCCCTGATGACGGTCAGTGCATGCAGTGGCAAGCCCAGGAGGGAGCAGGCAGGCTGGTGCCGCTGGGGATGGCACCTCCTGGAATGCCACGTTGCAAGTGGCTTCCTCCAGCAGCACGGAAAAAAGCTACCGCATCCGAGAAGCCTGGCCTTGCCCTCGAGCCAGCAGGTCCAGGCGGATTTGGGGCGTGGAGGGAGCCAAGTGAGGTGGTTTCCAAAGCTGCAGTTGTCCCTGAGATGCGCCCCCATGGCACACACAGCATGAGCACTGCAATCTCCTTGGTGCAAATCCTGCCCCTGACATGAGCACCATGAAAAACATGTTTGAGCACACATGGAAAACAACAGGCTCGCCCACCATGGGCATTTTCCTCTCCTGCGTGAAGGAGGCTGGACAGGGAGCCAGGTCCTGGCCAGGAACAGCCAGGGATCTCACTGCGGCTGGCCAGTGGGTGAGCAGCAAATCCCAACCCTCACCCTGCTGTGTTACCATGCCTAGGATGCACACCTGGGGGGAAGGTGGCACACTTGTCGTGTGCTCCTACACTCCTCCAGCACAGATCCCCACTCCGAAAAGCATTGTCCAGCAGTGAGGCTGGACTGCTCCTGTCCTCAGAGTCAGGCTTGGGGCCACAGCAGATGGTCCAGAGACAAAGGGAGCACGCGTGGCACTGTGCTTGTCACTCAGCTCATTTCAATGACAGCTGCTGCGGCTAAAGGGTTTTAAAAAATTAAGCCTGTATAAAGTGCTGTGACCCACAGCAGCCCAGTCCCGGCGAGCGCTGATTGCTATTGCTCTTAAACCACGACCTGACCATTCGGCCCCACTGCACAACAGCTTCAGGCCCGGGCATCCCTGGCCTTCCCGCCGCTGCTGGGCTTTCTCGGGAAGCCTTTAAACTTCAATTATATTTGCAGTATTTAGTATGTTTAATCCACACGGAGAGGCCATTGACCCACAGCAGCCCAGTCCCGGCGAGCGCTGATTGCTATTGCTCTTAAACCACGACCTGACCATTCGGCCCCACTGCACAACAGCTTCAGGCCCGGGCATCCCTGGCCTTCCCGCCGCTGCTGGGCTTTCTCGGGAAGCCTTTAAACTTCAATTATATTTGCAGTATTTAGTATGTTTAATCCACACGGAGAGGCCATCTGTTGAGACCTGAAGTAGGTCAGGTTTGAGCGTCCCTTGAAAGCCCAGAAGCCAGGCACGAGCACATCAGCCACTTCCCGATCAACCACCCGTGAAACGACGCTGCAGCCTGCGAACGACCAGGATATCACAGCAACGCATGGCAGCACTGCCGCGGGCGCTCAGCCAAGCTTCCCTCTCCGCGGCTAAAAATAGCGTGTCTCCCATGAGCAGGAAAGCCGGATTCACCCTACGCTGCACAGAGAGGATGTGCCCTGCCCCTTGGGTTTGCAGCCTATATGGAATCCTATCAGGTGGCAGCCCAGGCTCCTGGGAATTCCCTGGCAGGGAATTAGCGCTGTGCCTGGCTGTGTTTTCTGCCCTGGGTGATCTTCACAGCGTGAATCACTTTGGGAGCTGACCCGAAGCTCGTAAGTAATCAGAGAGGCTTTCTACCTTAGCACGTCCACGGCCGAGAGCCTGGGCTAACGGCAGGTCTGCAGGCAGTGCCGAGCTCTGCGGCAGGGAGTGACGCTGCAGAGCTGACTCATGCCGGCAGCACGGGGAACCGGGGCTCCTTTGTCCGGAGAGCAAAACCGCTGCGGGATGCTCTGAGGCAGGGCACAGTGAAGGGCAGGGAGCCCGCAGGGAGAGTTTCAAGTTGTGCTACACGTGGAGGGAAACTTGCAGTGTTGCCTTAGAGCTTTGCGCTTGTGAAAGAGAATAAAGACGCACTGCGGGAAGCTGGGAGCTGCACAGACATCCCACGTGAGAATAGGACGGCATCGAACCCCCGAGGTGAAGGCAAACCATGCTGACCATTCATGCTCTCCCTTGAGACATTTGCTCAGGACAAAGCAGGGTTTTGCTCAGGACAGAGCAGGGTTTTGCTCAGGACAAAGCAGGGTTTCTGCTCTCCCGAGCCCAGATGCCTCCATGCATTTCTGGCTCCCGAGTGCTGAATTAGGATACACAAACCACAGGCTGGTTTAGATTCTAACCTGAGTATTGTGGCTCTATAGAGCTCCTGCAGAGCTGATCTCTCCCTTTCACACAGCTCTCCCATGCTTACCTGTTGTGTTTGGAGGCGTTTCCAAAATAGTCTTTAAAAGCTTCATGTCCTTAATGTTATGGATGTAAATTGACTCCTCCAGGCAGACAACCAGCCTCTGCAAGGACACAAGGGACATGCACAGATCCTCACCAGCATGGGCACACATCTACTGCTCCCACAGTCCACAAACCCAACTCTTCGCTGTCAGAAAATCTCAACAGGAATTTCTCACGCACTGAAATGTAACAGAAACATCACCTCTTCTGCCTCTCCATCCCCTCTCACTGGACAACCTCTGATTTTGTACGACGGCTTTTGCGAGCTGCCTGCATCTGGTCGTGTTTTAGAAAGCAGACTGGCATGACTACTCAAGAGCTGATCCTCCCCAGACCCAGGAAGACACATCAGGGATATACCCTAGCCATATGGCCTTGATTGCTATCCATTCCTACCCCAACTTTTCCTTGCAGTTATTTTCATAGCGAATCACTTTTTGATCATAAAGACCAGGCAGCAGAGAGGCTGCCAATCCTGCTTGTCAGAATGCCCAGAGATGGGACTACGTCCCCCTTGCCCTGACTTTTTCCTGATTCAGGAGCCAACATTTAGGTGATGGGCCTCCCGCTGCTGATAAACCTTATGCATCTGTTTCTCTTCCCATGTGGCATCAGCAGCCAAGACTCCGCTTCATGTGCACAGAGTTGTGCAGCAGAACTGCATAAAATTGGGTCGGGAAACATTTGTTAGGGACAGTCACAGTGGTTAGTTATAGAATCATAGAATCATGGAACGGTTTGGGTTGGAAGGGACCTTAAAGATCATCCAGTTCCAACCCCTCTGCCATGGGCAGGGACACCTTCCACTAGACCAGGTTGCTCCAAGCCTCATCCAGCCTGGCCTTGGACACTCCCAGGGATGGGGCATCCACAACTTCTCTGGGCAACCTGTTCCAGTGCTTCACCACCCTCTGTGGGAAGAATTTCTTCCTGATATCCAATCTAAACCTCCCCACTTTCAATTTAAACCCGTTGCCCCTTGTCCTGTCACTACAGGCCCTTGTAAAAAGCCCCCCCCAGCTTCCTTGTAGCCCCTTCAGGTACTGGAAGGCTGCAATAAGGTCTCCCCGCAGCCTCCTCTTCTCCAGGCTGAACAAGCCCCCTTAGTGTGTCACACTGAGGATTTACACCACCGTGGCAGATGGATAGCGTATTTCCAAGTGGTTGTACCTCTTCTACTGAGCCCGTCAGGAACACCCAGCCACCCACCCAGCCAAGAGGCAGCCGCTAAGAGAGGAGCTGCCAAGCGATGGGGAGGAAAGGCAGAAAGGAAAAAGGAAGCCTAATGCTATAGCCCTGGGTCACCATCTCCACAGCCACTCAGCTTCGTATCTCAGCTTGGTCCTGATCTCTACGTGTCACCACAGAGGCACTTTGCATAGATGCTTTTTTGGGACCAGGTTTTGGATCTGCCTGAGGGGATGTGCTTCCTAAGCCCGGCTCGCGCACAGCTCCACCTACGTTAGTGCCAAGCATCCAGAAGTGTTGAAAACCTCCAATAAAAATGCAAGGCCAGACTCCATCCAGGCTCCTGAAGTTGGAGCACCCAAATCCATGTACAGGAAGCCTCCACCTCTTTAGAAACGAGGCCACTTATTTAGTATCTAAATGTGGAGCTTAGTCACTAACTTGAAACACCCACATTAGAAAATCTTTGCCTTGCTCCACCATTCTTTCCCACTTCTATTCCTGCTAACCACAGCATCTGGGGCTGTGTCAGAGCCATTCTGCATTTCCAGGAAGACTTTGCCTTTTCTACAGTAACAGCCATCAGCTTGCTAGCAGAGACCGTCAGAGTAATATTTATACAGCTGACTTCGGCAAAGCCACCACGTGCTTTCCCAGAACAGGAAAACGCGCTGCTCTGGGTGCACAGGTGAAGGGAGGTTTCCAGATGATGGCAAAACAACAGCCAGAGCTGCAGCAAGAGATGCTAGCACCCACAGGGCCAAAGCCCAGGAAAATGATGGGGGTGGGAGGTGAATGGCGAGGGGAGGTTGGACAAGCTCACCGCGTGCTGGAGAGCTGGTTCTCTGCCTCCTGCCCTCCACACAGCCCTGCAGCCCATGCTAACATCAGTGCAAAGCCTGCTGAGATGAGGAATGGGTTTCATCCTCACTGTGCTCACAGATGGAGCCTCAGAGGAGGTGCCCGGTGCCGTGTTTGCTACACAGGCTTCAAGGCACCTGTACGAAATGTTACTGCTCACCAGTATTTTTCCTGAGTACTTCAGCGTGACACAAATCAGGTGAGATAGTGGAGTTGTGTGCTGAGGACTTGACTGTGCTGGGTATGGACACGGCCAGGAAAAACCATCAAACCTCTCCAATGAGCTCAGCAGGGTTTCAACAGTGAATGAAAACCCAGGGAGGCTGCAGGAGAGCTTCGCACCAGTCCCACATCACAGCCTTAGTTTCCACTTTGAGACAAAGCGTGATCTCACTTAACGCACTCGAGGGTTACAGTGGAGCTTGGAACCAAGAATTCCCATGGATCAGCGACAACCGAGGGACTTGTTCGTTTACATGACAAGGATTTTCCACAGAGAGATCAAATCGAAACATGAACCATTTGAGACCTCTTCCTGTTTTATCTGTCACCATTTCCCAGTGTTAATGCCTTGTACTGGGTTTGGTCTCCTGTGGATTTTTAGCAAAGTACAGCTTTCAGACAGAAGCCCAGGCAAGGGGTTCAAACGTCGCAGCACAAGCAGAACCTGACTGCCACCCATTTAAATCTCGAATGTGGATTGAAACAGTGGTTTCTATCTACCCGAGCATCTGCAGCATCCTCAAATCTCTCCAGGTTCATCTGTGTTACGGCTGGAGGATGCGCTCAGCCCAGGATTTGAGCCCAAGCAGCCAGGGAAGGCGGATGCAAGGCTGGGCCTGTGCATCATCTTCAGGCAATCTCCAGAGCAGCACATGGGGAAAAGCCTGAACTTACTTTATACTCACACTAATCTCCTAGAGCTGGAAGCAGAACCTCCCGGTTTATTTTTATACATATACATCTATCTGCAATTCAAAGGAAGTCCTTATTTTTGCCAGCTCCGTTGTAAGCTTAAGTGAAAAAAATCAATTTAGGACAGATTTAATTGTAGTACAGGAACTTCTGGTCAAACACAGCTTTACTGGAAACTCAACCCAGAGTTTCCTTATGGGAGAGCGTTACTGCAGGACTCTCCGTTGCTAACTGAGGAGAGGTTGATTATATACAATTACACAGACTGCTTATTTCTTCATTGTAAAATGTCCTCTGCTTCTTATGGCATATACTTTGAAAATAATTATGGACAAAAAGAAAAGATGACTTAAAATCCTCCCAAAGGGCTCACGGCTGCATGAGGCTGTGTCACTTCAGAACATAACACTCTAAAAACCTCCTTCTGAGTGGCCTGAGTGTTTTCTATCCCTTTAAAAATAAAACAAGGCTGCTAGCAGTACTTGACAAGAGGCCTTTCACCTCATCCATGGAGCTCAAGTTACTCCTGGCTTTTGTTACCAACTGTGAAGGTCTCATTTGCAACCAAGATGGCAGCAGTGGGCCTGAACTCGGGATGTGGAATCCAAGGGAGGGAGGAAGAAAAGGTGGTTTTTGGCAGAACTTCATGCTGAATAGGCAAGAAGGCAGGCAACAAAAGGCCTTTGTGTAGCTGTTATGAAAACAAGGACTTAGCTTCACTCCACTGAAGCAAACAGTTCAATAGATGATATCCACAGCCATCCTGCTCCTCTGCCAGAGGTCACCAAACCTCAAGTGGAGCTGGTAGGAAAGGACAGGTACCTGCTCCTCCAGTCCTACTTCACAGTCTCCGTGCATACCTCCCTGGGCTGCCGCTGCTCTGCTAGGCAGGGCAGTCCCAGCTGGAAAGTCAGCTCCAGCAAACAGCCAGTGGGACAACCCTGTCTAACCCACTTCCCCCACTTCTCACCTGACGATTCAGCCGGATGGACAGTATGTTACTGGAATAGCTATAGTTGCAGATCTCTGTCCCTTTCTTGAAGTGGTAGACATTCATTTGCTGTGGCTTGGCATGACTGACCACAACCACAAGGCTGCTGGAGAACAGACGCTCCACGATGTAAACATCTGGGATTTCATCTGGGCACAGAAAGAAGGCAAGACAGAATCTTTAGCTTGGCTTATGGCTGGTTTGTTTGCAGCGACCAGTGAAACTCAGCTCAGGAGGGCATGGGGCTGGAAGGCTCAGTGCTAAGGTGTTCAACAGCTAGTTTTGTTAAAAATTTCTCGTAACTGGCACAAAGCCTTTAGGTCAGAGCAGGAAGGAGTTAACGAACCTTCCACAGAAGGCAGCATTTAAGCCAGCCCCCCTTGACAGTGCAGTTATGCCTCTCCTGGGCTTCTCCAGCTGAAGCTAATCCTTGGGCCCTCCAGCTGTAGTTAATCCTTGGGTAGGGGATATAAAAAGGAGGAGCTCACCCTCATAAAGGAGAATGAGCTTAGTCAGGGACTTTCCTGGAGGGAGTAAACAAGCCAGGATTTATTGAGGTAAGGAAAAAGCTGTGTGTAGCCCACTGTTTATTTTGCATGGTTTCCGATTTCTCCCAGCCTCCTTAGTGTTTAATTCCCTCCCTGTCACTGGGGTTGTGGTCTCTAGGCAGCTGAGTATGGATGTGGTGAACAGTGGTGTGGTATGTTTTGCAGAGACAGTGTTTGGGATGGCTGCTGTTGTGTTGTGAAGGAACTATTATAATGGTCCTGATGAACCTGTACCTAAATCATTAGGGACTGTGACTTTTAGTAGAGGAAGCCCTGAACAGGGCTTGGGCTGCCCTGTGTTGGAGATGCAGGGGCTGCTTGTGTCTCAGCCCATCACCTTCAGCATGTCCCCAGCAGGCATCTGTTTCTCTCTGGCCCTTGGTCTGACTCTGGGGGAAATCCAAATCCTAAATACTTTAAAAATAAGTCTATGCTTGCTGTTGTATAACAGCTGAGTTACTCTGAACCAGAACTGTTCCTCTCCTGATATGGGTACAGCATAAACAGATGCCATATGTGCAGTGGCAATGAACAGAATTGTGCCTTTAAGGCACTGAACTGTGATAATACGGGTAAGGCTTGGCCAATATTCCACCAGAGGGAAACAGGAGACTTACTGCTTTCATGGACCTGGTCCAGTTGCTCCACAGAACTTAAGGAGAAAAGCCTGTATCCCGTTGTAGTTCCAATTGCCAGGGAGCTGCAAAGGCAAGACAAAAACCTGCTAGTCCAGCTCTTAAGGTCTCCAGGTGACAGAGAGATTCCCTGTGGGAAGGGAGACAGGTAGTTCCTGGTGATCTGTGAAGGCACAACTTCAGTTTCCACTCAACCTAAAGCATTTAAGGTAACAAACACATGTAACCTACAGAAGCACGCTGATTTGTGAGGGTTGTGGAAGCTTTACTCTCGCTGCTAAAGGCACAAGGCAGAGTCATGCCAAGCGCTGGCTCTGCTCAGCTCCAGATATAGTAAGCAGCAACATCTAGGTCTTAAATCAGCAGCTGTCCCAGAATACCAACACACTGCGCTTGTGCTGAAGGTGGTGGCCAGCAGCGCATCGCCACCCATCAAAGCACTCTTTGTTTAGACACAGCGAATGCAAAGCAGGCTTGCAAATGTAATGATATTTCCAGGCTTGAGACTGGTATCTGTGATTCTTATCTCCCACCCCATGATCTGGGCTGATCTTGGCTCTGGGCTATGAGTGCCAGACCCAGTGTGCAGCTCAGGCTTCAGGATGTTTATTGTCTCACTTGGAAATGGTTCTTAAATGACTGGCTTAACGCTGGTAAACCGCAGGTTGGCGATGGTGTAAGGGTGGGAGGCTCCAAGGAAGCCCTCGGTCATGAGGTGGGTGGGGGGGTACTTCAGCCTGCGCGGGGTGCTCGCCATGGCGCCCTGGGCAACTTTGCCATCTAGCAGGTGGCCCCCGGCCAGCCAGGCACTGGCATGGAGGAGCTGTCAGCAGACAGAGCCCTCGGGGAAAGTCACTTCACAGCATCCAAAAATACTTCCTGAACCCTAGGGGAGGTAAAAAAGTGATTCCTCTGAATCTTCTGCCTCCCTCGGACTGCCGGAGACATAATTTTGGGGATGTCTATGGAGAGCCAGTTGCCCCCCCTCCCCGCC